GAGTACGTGGAAGAACCTGTGGTGGGCATTAGAAACGGCTTGCTATTTAAAATTATCTTTGAGAGTTGTTTTAAAATTGCTGTGATCTCTTAGGCATTAATTTTATAGGCAATACGCGAGTGCTTGATACATGTAACAAAAATAAATGTGTAAAAATCTGTGACATTTCCAGTAACTCCAGATGGCGGGGTCAGGTAGAGGAAGAGGGCGTTCGGCCTTTACCTTCAACATCGAGGAGATAGGCTTTTCCAGAGGCGCAGCTCTGCCCGACTCCGTCTCTGAGCCTCCACCGGTATTTCCTGTAAGTAAATGTAAGGCCTTCAGGTAAAGTGTATTCAGTGTTCTGTTTAGGTAACATAATGAAATACATGAACAACCCTCAGCACTTCAGGTCAGTTTTGAAGTGTTTCATGTAAATCATTGTTTTTCTTCCTACTACTTCCTGTCCCTTTGCTAATTGTTGCATCCCTTATTTAACTAGATTGCTTGCAAGACGTTAATTCATTAAAATTATGATTTGGTTTTCCACACGTTGCAGTAACGGTAACACTGGATATCTGAATTTCTTAGAAATGAATTTGGAGTGGTCTTGGAAGCTGTGAGTGGATGTCGTGATTTTAGAAATGTACTGTTGCTGCAAACATAAAAGATTCTGGATGATTGTCTTGTACCTCAGTGGCCAGAATGTAAAAATAATTTGGAAATAACTGAAAGATACCTTGTGTAATTAAGGAAACTGACATGTGGCATTTGGGATGCTTTTGGAAATTAAAAGGGAAGAAAGAACAAATTATTTTCTGACTGCATGTTGCTATGCAGGGAAGCATGGACAATTTTGAGGGGGTAAAGTAGTCTTACAATGTTGAGCTTTTATACAGGAGAACTTGTCAGTCATGTCAGTTTTTGATCAGGATGCATGAATTTTATCTCAGTCTCACACATTATGATACAGAACTCAGAAGTCTGGCATATAATCAGTGCTATTATTTCACCCAAGGCTTTTAACTTCCTGAACCAGATGTTGTATATCCATTTAGTGCACCTTTACTGTTAAGTTGTGTGATTTCATTGGTACTCAGTCATCTATCCCTGTTCCTAATATCAATGTTGTGGTCTGCTTGATAGCATAAGGACGCTGAATTGTGTGTGAACTACGGCTCCTGCAGTTTCAGTCAGCAGTGCACTGGCATTTTAGGAGGATTACTACCCCTAGTATGTCTAATGTATACCATGGAGAAGTTGAAGATGCTTTCTTCCTTCTGTGAACAAAGTTTCAGAACTAAGTTAAACTTTTCATTAAAAAAACCCAAAGTTAGCCCAGTGGCATTGCTAGAGTGGATAAAAATGTCAGGAGTTAGATTTAATGGCTGAGCAGTGACCAGAAGTATTTTACAGTGACTCACAGTGAAATTATTTTGAGCAGTGAATTGATGCTATTAAATATTTCTAATAGACACTTTCTGAGTTCTTATGAATTTCCTGTAAATGCAATTAGAAGCCCAATTAGGGAGCATCAGCTTACGGTCAGCATCATTAGTGATTTAAAATGCATCTGGAAGCAGTAAACTCTTTTCACAGTGTAGCTCTGGGACTTGTGATGACACTTTGTGCTTTGCAGCCTTCCACTCGGGTACCGATTGCACACTGTCTGTCCTGTGAGAGAAACAGCACCCATGCTGTCGTTCTGGCTCCAGCTTTCTGTATAGTTTAAAGCTGGTTTTGCTTATTTATCTTCCTAAATTTCTATGTCCATAGTTAAAAAAAAATAATCCCCCCAAATCCAAACCTTAACATTTCATTTAAATTCAGTCAGAAACTGTGTGAGGGCCTGTGTGCTACCTGGTTGTATGACAATAGTTGTGGCAAGGGTTTCTGTGTTATTCAGAGTAATCATACTTAATGTTGCTGAAACGTTGATTTGCAAGAGGGTAAGGCCAGTGAAACTCTGACTGCAGAGAGAAGCAGTCATTTCTGACCAAGTTAGGCTGGTGTGAAAACCTGCTTTTGGCAATTAAGAGCTTGGCATGACTGTGACTTTCACTGTTTAAATACTTTTTCTTTTCTACGATTTCTTGATGTATTTTTGCAGAAAGATACAGCAAAGTCGTAAAAGGTATGGATTTAGTTGTAAGCTTAGTTATGCATGTCAGAGTGCACTGAAGTATACTTGCAAAGTAGCATAAGGCATAGTTGGGCTCTTCTGTGATGAGCTGTTTATTGTAGCTTGTTAGTATTCCTGTATATTTGATGGATGTTAAGACCTTGTAAATAATAAGCATGCTTTGTGCAGGGTACAGAAAATAAGCCAGTGCCTCTGAAAACAGGAGAAGGTGAAGATTACATGTTGGCCCTGAAACAAGAGCTTAGAGAATCTATGAAAAGAATGCCATATTTTCTGACAGTAGAAGAAGATCGCGAAGGTTGGTTTGTGTGTTTTTTTCCTTTTATTTATATATTTGGTAGTTATTATTACGTGAAGTATGATGCAGTGAAATGCATGTGTTGAATGTGTATTTTGTGCTGGTAATGAGGAGTAAAAATCGACAGCTTAAGATAATAGGAGATGTTTCTGCTTTTACATTATTGAAGTTGCAGGTCACCGACAAGTGCTGTAACTGGAGTGCAACTACTGTATGAGAAAGAGAGGTATCAAACATCTGTTCCATTTCATGTACAGTAAGAAACATGTAGACCAACTATATGCAATCTTTTTAATTATTTGCTAACCAATACAAGTGAAATAGGCATTTCTGCCTCTTAAAATACCCCAAAAATTTTGCATTGGACCCAAGAAGTCTTTTTAGTAAATCCTAGTGTTGAAACTCAACTTCCATTTGAATTTTGTAAAGATATCAATGTTATTTTTAATAACTGGACGTTCTAAAAGGTACTATTTAAAATACTGCTGTGGGATTATTGTAAATCTAGCAGTCACAGGAGGTTATTACGGTGAGGAGTGCCTCTTTTTGGGGATTTTTGCCTAGTTCTCTCATCCCCCTGAGTGCTTGTTCTGAATGGTATAAATGGTGAGTGCTGTTACAGGAAAATGGGAAATACAGCATATTTGAAAATGCTGGATGTGTCAGACCCTAGGCCCAGTCAGTGCAATAGGCAGTCACTAAAAAGCTTTATAAAAACGTTTAAGACCCAGTGTTTAAACCCAAAATGGCCAAATACTGAATAATCTTTTTCTTGCTGTCTTGTGCTGATTTGAATAACAAGAGCTGGCTTCAACTCTAAAAGGTGAGGTTTAATTTTCACCCCAAAACCATCAGAGTATTTTCTGTCTGATTATTCACGATGTCAATGCAATACAGGTACATAGTCCAATCCCTTCTGAATTTTTAGTAGCTTTTATTCATGGTGTAGGGGTGAATCCTAGAGGTTTTTGAGACTGCTGCAATTTTTTTTTAAATTATGCTTTGAATGTAACACTGATTAACACACATTGTCAGTTGCCCACTTGTTCTTGCACTAAAGCACTGTGTAAAACAGAGCAGTAGGAGCAGTGAATGTGCTGCTGCCCAGAACAAATTTCTTTCTCTTTAGATTCATATCTCACCAGAGTCTTGCTGTGCTCTTGATCTTCATTAAGCTTGAAGTTTGCTATTTCCATTTGAGGCACAAAAAAGGAAACCCTGAGCCACTCAGGTTCATTTCCAAGGAACCAGCCACTGTATGAGAACGTATTCTCTCTCTTTTCCAACTTTGCCTCACGCCATCATTTTTACTGTTCACCCCAAAAATCATCTTTATTTCTGCAGTCACCTTATTGAGGTGTGTGATCTCTATTGCTGAGTGTGCTCCTTAATAGAACTTACAGCTGTGAAGACTCTTTTTCAACAAAAACTGGCAGTTTCTGGGAAAGCAGCCACTTGATAGACTCAGTCCTTCAGATGTTCTCACTGTCTCCCCAGTGGTAAGTCAAGACAACTTTAAATATTACTGAACCTGTAGTTCTACAAAAATGCATCAGCTGAGGGCTTTCATCTCAGTCACCATATGCAGTTGTGTCTGGGACTGCATTATGTGGCAGAAGTGGCCCAGCTTTAGGAAAATCACTTTCTTCCCCCAAGGTAGATTACTTTTAACCGATCGTTGCTGTTTTCTGGTTTACAGCCCTTTCCTCCCCTATATGTCATCAAAACATCTGGTAGGAATAAGAGAGAGGCAGAGGAGGGAGTGCGAGCAGGATCTTCTTAAATTGGCTTTGCTACAGAAGCAAATGGATTGATTCAAACCCTCTGCACAACATCTGTGAGCCGAATGGTCCTTCGAAGTCTGAGGAGGGAAGCATTTTAATTCGTTAGGACATAGCTATCTATCTTTATTTCATTATTCAGGTAGTAAATGAAAGCTTTGTCTAGTACTACCTGGCAGTTTTGATGCGCTACTGTGCCATACAGCATAGATTTTCATCATGGATTTCAACACTTATTTTGAGTGAGTAGCAGCTGTGTTTTGTAGTAATGGAATCTCTATTCTCTGTTTTCCTCACTTCATGAGCTATTCATATTCTTCCTGTAGGTGTATCTGCTGTGGCTGTGTGACTGGCACCTTGGCAGTGGTTTGGAGTCAATTAGTCAGTCAGATGTATTTTTTTTACTGATGGCATCAGCAATTAGTTCTTCACTAACGAGCCTCAAGCTGAAATAAAACTACTAGTTTCTTTTCCTTTCTGTGCTGGTAGTTTTCTGCAGCATCTGAGGAGGCCACCTACATTAAATGCTCCTTGAGACACTGTTGTTTTAAACTCCAGCTCTTTGTTGCACCGTCTTAAGTAGGTTTTCTGCTTGCCCTCATCATGACTAAGTTTAAAATTGAGATTCATTTCTGATGTCTTCCTTCTCCATTCCTTTTTCTGGTGAGTATGCTAGAAGTCTGTAACTGGAGAGGTGTCACAGTTTGTCTCTGTTACCATTTTTTGTACAATACCCACAGAAATTATCCCTGCCTGGGTAAAGAGTTAGTGCAATCAGAATGAGTAATTCTGCAGTAAGTGGATTTTGCAGTTGGGCATGGTGATTTGTTAAGAAAACTTTGGACTGATTTTAAAGTACTTAAGTTTTGATGCTGCTTTTACTATTAGAGATTGCACAAGGAAGGTTTTTCACAGTATAAATGGGTGCACTTACGCTGCAGAATTACTGTGTTATTTACAATGCATCTCTCAGTTCTTGTGCCTGTAAAGAGGTTAAATGGACCAAATTGTGATGCTGCTGGTTATAACATCTCTGTTGTGCCGCAAAACTTTGACATTGCAGAAGTACTTGGGAGTTGATCCTTTATGATTTTATGATACTATAGTAATTTTGGAGGCTTTGTGCGAGAGAGCTGTTTCGATTGAAAGCAGATACTCCAAAAATACAGAGCAATATTTGAGGGTTTTTTTTAACCTTTTTTGGGGAATATAAAATCCAGTTCTTGCAAATTATTTGCAAATGATCAGTCCTGTGAATTATCATGCAAACTGCTCAACCTTGTGACATTACGCTGTTTTCATTTAGTGTTTGATAACAATAAAGTGTTCAGTGGGGGATAAAATAATACACTGAATGTTTAGTTACAGGAAAATATGAAGGGCAATGTCTGGGCTGCCTTTTTTATTAATTGAATTCTGTAACTCTTTGTATCCTTCTCTGTAGTAATTGAGAAGTACAGTAAAAAGTACCAGAACAGGGAAAAGGGGCATGCAGCATGGACCCCAGGTAATACCTGAGATTATCAAAGGCTAATTCTTTATTATCCATATTATTATGTTTTCAGATCAAGGTGAAGTATTTTTTTGTCCGGGAAAAAAAAAAAAAGGAAAAAAACCACCTGATTTTATTTGCTTATTTGTATTTATTTATAAAAACCTGCATTGCAGCAAAAATGCAAGCTTTACCGCTCATCCCAGCTTTTCTTCTTCCTTACTTGCCATGCGGATCCCAGTTTTGAACTGGGAACAAGTGTTGATTTTAATAAAAGTAATCCAACCTGATATCTCAGTTACAGGAAGCTGGGTTTTATAACATTGAACTTCCACAACCTATATGTGTATCTATATAGCTCACTGCTACAAACTTGATTGTAGCATGTAAATTGAAGGGCACATGGGCTGAACTTTGTCACGTTGGGGCAGATACCGGTTGTTATTTAGTGAGTAAAGTGCCAGTCCTCAATCTGTTTCCTCATTTTTAGGTACATCTAAAGTAAGACTTGTGTGAGCTGAAACACTTGGGCATGTGTGTAAACAGGACCAGGCACAACGGGGACCCCTACCTTTCCTTGGTGGGTGGCAGGGGGGGAATAGTGCTGTAAATCATTGATATTTATTAAAGCTATTTCCTGTACAGACTGGAGAAGACTCCCGAGAGAGCTGAAGCCAAAGCAAAAGACCAAAAAAGGTAGATTATATATTTTTGTGGAGGATTTAGTACACAGTAATTGAGTGATAGAAGACATACTGGTGTATGGGAAAAAAACTGATAGAAATGTTAATTAGTCCTAACAATCGGGGCTTTTGGCAGATGGTTTCTAAATAATTCACTAGTCTGCATGCCTTTTGTGGTTTTAATTTGCATCTGTAGAAATGTTTTAACTTACTGGAATGGATTTCTCTTCCTTTCCTGCCTTTTGTATTGATGTTTCATATTAACATGTGAGATATGTAGCAGTGAAGGATTAAAAAAACCACAGAACTTTTTGTTCTGACAGTTTCAGTATCTTTAGTCAACACTCACCCTTCTTTTTAATGAATACCTGGCTGCTTAGATTTCCTTTGTACTTTGGGTTTCTCAGTTATCTTGTTTTTTATTTGGTTTAGTTTTGCATTCTTTTAAGCCTTCTATATGTGATTTAATGTAGGTTATTTTCTACTTTCCCTATTTTTTTTTCTGTCTATTTTCAGCTTTCTTCTGCAGAATTGTGAACCAGATCCTTCAACAGCAGTTGGAGCTGGTATTGGTTGTTCTTACAGGAAAATACACTTTTTATTACACAGCATCATACATGTATTTGTTTTCTCAAGTGTCTTCTAGTGTGCATGAGTGTTACTTTAAGTTCTCTGTAGAAGTCTTGCTCTGTTGATGCAAAATAACACTTGGCCTCCTGTATCTAGCTGTCTGTTACATGTAATTGTTTACTTTCTTGTTCTCTTTGTCCATGTGTCATTTTTCAGTTCAAGGATAAGGCAGAAAAGGGAAAGGGAATGTGCAGTAGTCATGGAGACTGGCTCAGCTGGAAGCTCTCTTCCTTTTAAGAGCGCATTGAGAAGCGTGGTACTAAAGGCAGACCGCAAGATGCAGCTGAAAATTAAATACTCATTTGCAGAATCCCTAAAGAAGAAACCAGTACATAATAAGTTTGTGTTTTTTTAAGAAAAAGAAGAAAGTGGATTGGCTTTTATAAGCCTGGATGCAGTAATTAGCTCCCCAAGATCCAGTGACATCGTAAATGCTGATTTATCATTCATTGTTACAATAATGTATTATAAGCAAAGAGAGAATCACTGCTCACTGTGGGGGATTTTCCCTCTTCCTTTTGTGCCCGTTTCTCTATTTGCTCTTAAAGGTACATTTTCATACATAGTTATTATTGCAAAGATGAGCTGACCATCTGAATTTGATTGGATTAAAAAAGTAGGTATTCCTAAAAGCAAAAAGCATGCGGTTTTAGGGTTGGGGTTTTTTTTTAATCCTCGTGATACAGAGGCCCTACAAAACTCATATGACTCAGGAGGTTTGTAAATAGCTGCTCAGTGACACAGTAGTCCTTTTGGTAGAGATCCCTGTTGTATTTTGGGGACAGATATCTTAGGTGACGCTTCACAGCCGAGCGAAACACAGGTGAAGTGAAGAGGATCTGCACTGAAATTCACACAGCCTTCCACCATTCGACTTCATAGACTGCAGGCGAGGTTTTGGGATCACTACACAGTTATGTGTACAGGGATGGCTTCATTTTTACACACCTCCCCTCCTTCTTTCTGGTTTCCCCAAATGTTTTAACCCGAGACCTGACTTCCTGCCTTAGTGACTACATTTCGGGTAGGATTCCACATCTCTCCCACACTTTCCCTGGGCTGTGGACCGCAGGCTTCTGAAATATAAAACCCACCAAACCAAACTGAAACAAAGTAAAGAACCCAAACATTGGCCAGGTTCAGCCCTTGTAGGCCAGCTATATGCATATATATCT